GAGATGACCTGCGGTTTTCTAATACAACTGGTATTCTGCAAAAAAAAAAAAAACTATGCGGTTTATTGGTGTGGAAGTGGAGCAAGAGACGAGTGCACCCCCTCCTAAAAAAAATCCTGGATCCGCCCCTGTGATGACTATACTAAACAATCTATTAAGTTGTGAGAAATGCATTTATTCCCATACTAACTATAAACTACAAATATACAGTGTGTAAGTACTTTAAAAAACTTTTCAGCTACATACATTATTTTAAAAATAGAAAATTATTTAATCATAAATTCAGTAATTTTATACTGGTCCCTTTTTATGCTAGTAGAAGAAAGCACAATCCAATTTTTTGGTTGCCACTTTTATGCTTTACATGACTGTAGCTATTTTACACTAAAGGCTCTCTACAGGCAAGTGTTGTCAAAAAAATTAATAATCAAACTCAATATAACTTTATCATCAAATGCATTAAAATCACACTATTTGGAACTTTAATTTAGCAAGTTTTCATTCAGCAGGTTAAAATTAAGTCCCACAAAGTTAAATCAATACTCTGACCAATCACAAATAACTTACTTACAAAAAAATATATTATGGGAAAATATTATTATGAGAACAAGACACAAGTGACTGACACAATGCAAAAAATGTCCTCTGGCCCACTAAAATGTGGAACAATGATCTTGCATCTTGCTTGACTTGTCTTGTGCTTTTTGTTAAATTTTGATCAGTGCAAACAATAGGAGGGCTCCTTGATAGATCAAGGTCTTTATCATAGATCAATTCCATCCTGTGCAGGGTGCAGGTAAAGAATTATCCTCTCATTCCCAAATGAAGAGTTCTTCTTAGTGGTGACACACCTGGCCACAGGCCCCTGAAATAGAAACCAGAACCAAGAAAAGAGTTTTTAGACAAGGAGATGTACATGTATTTCAACTTAACTTTAATTAAGTAGGTCTAGGGGAAATCAGAAAATGAAAACATTTAAAACATAACATTAATGTGTTCTGTAAGCATTATTATTAATCAAATTCAACTTATAAATTTGCTTGCTATTATAAGAAAGCAGCCTACTGAAAAAGCAG